ACTTGTTTACCATACTATATTTTAGGTTTTCCCAATAATTTTGAAAAGTATTGGATATTTTTTACTTTTTGTCCCTACAGTAGACACTAACTATGTTCAGTTTACTACTATAAGTCCATGAACCACTCTCAAAGTTAAGGATTTTTTACTACTCCTAAATGTGATGTCACATAAAAATACATACATTGTAAAACTAATACATTCATTGTTCTGCTCAGAATCTATGAGTTATCTACAGTTAAAAAATATATTATGCCTATTAGGTACCCAATACCTAGTATCTAGGTAGGTATAATAAATAATTTAGTAAATCATATATTTTACAGTTAAAAATTATCATAGTATAATGAAAGAGTTATAAATTATAATGTATAAACATTAGTTAATAGTCATTTAATTATAGATAATTGGAATAGAGAAAATTATCCCTACAAAAAACTTGAATATGGAAAATGGGAATTAACTATACCACCAAACAGTGATGGAACACCAATTATTAAGCACTTATCAGAAATAAAGGTAGTTTAATTATAGTTTATAACATTTTCTTTATAATTTTAATTATAAATGATTTAGTACCTTAATCCTAACCAAACGTATTGTAGATTGTAGTAGAATCTCATCATGGTGAAAAAATGGATCGTATATCACCCTGGGCAACTTATGTAGTTCAACCACCCCGTGAAGAAGGAGTGACATTTAAGCAAAAAGTTTGGAATCCATCAGATCATGTGAGTGTTTCTGAAGCTTTTATTGTGTATTCAAAAAATTGATTATATTTATATGTAAAATGAAAACAAATTTATAATTAAATGAACAAACTAAGTTTAAAAAGCTTATAATTGTAAACTTTTAAATTTACATAAAAATAAATTAATATCAGTTTTTAAATTACATATAAAGAAAAGTAAACCATACGTATACAGATGCATATGGCTGTTTAAATAACCAAAATTTAATATTTTCAAGTTGTAATATTATAATATATTATCTATGTATACGTACAGTAATAATTGAATACTTTTATTATTTACCAGTAATCAGTATTGAACACAATATACCTAAATTTATATTGCCATGAGTATATGTGAATATGAATGTCATATTGACTGATTAACAGAAATTGAATATGTGATATGAACATAATGCGATGGGTTACTAAATCAGTAATGATCAACAGATAACATATACAATGAATTTTGAAAATAAACATTTTTTTTTATTAGCCAGTAATTCAAACAAGTTGAAACTAATTTACACATGTAAAAAAATTATAAGCCAAACAGTATAAGCCAAATATTATTTTTAATTTGTAGTTATTATTTACTAATTTATTAAACATATGTCTCAAGGTTTATCAATTTAAATATCCTAAAGTACCAAAACCATCTAGTTTGCGAATATATGAATGTCATGTTGGGATTGCCACATCAGAATACAAAGTTGGAACTTATCAAGAATTCAAAGATAATATGTTAGATCGTATTCTAGAATTAGGTAAAAATAATCCATTTACATATTATTTATAACTAAATGTAAAAAACATTTTTTGTATTATTTAAGGATATAATGCAATTCAAATCATGGCCATTATGGAACATGCATACTATGCTTCTTTTGGATACCAAGTGACAAGTTTTTATGCAGCTTCCAGGTAATTATACAAGCAATTTGAATTGTATTGAAAAAGAATGTTATTTTCTATTTAACAAATATTACAGTTTCATTCAACAATTAATTTTGATTTCAGTCGCTTTGGAACACCAGAAGATCTTAAAGAATTAGTTGATGTTGCACATAGTAAAGGTCTTTATGTTATGTTAGATGTTGTACACTCCCACGCATCAAAAAACGTGTTAGATGGTTTGAATCAGTTTGATAGTACAGATGCTGGTTACTTTCATAGCGGACCTAAAGGAAGTCATCCCCTTTGGGATAGCAGACTTTTTAATTATTCTGAGTAAATAAACTTGTATATTTTCATTGATTCAAGTTCAATTTATGATTATTGTTTGAATACAGGTATGAAGTGTTGCGATTTTTACTGTCAAATTTGCGATGGTATATTGAAGAATATAATTTTGATGGCTTCAGGTAAAAAAATGATATTCAGTATTATATGATATAGCAACATAACATTGTATTTTATTTTAGATTTGATGGTGTTACGTCTATGTTATACCATTCTCGAGGTGCTGGCCAAGGTTTTAGTGGACATTATGATGAATATTTTGGTCTTAATGTTGATTCTGATGCATTAATTTATTTGATGTTGGCAAATTATATGCTCCATAAATTCTACCCCAATTGCATAACTATAGCTGAAGTAAAATATTTAATAATTTTTAAAGTTTTTATTTTTAATGTACAATTTTATATTACAAATATAGGATGTGTCTGGAATGCCTGCATCATGCCGACCTGTAAGTGAAGGAGGACTTGGATTTGATTATCGTTTAGGAATGGCTATACCTGATATGTGGATTAAACTGCTGAAGGAAGTTAAGGATGATGATTGGAATATGGGGAATATTGTTCATACACTTACAAATCGAAGGTGGATGGAAAAAACAGTTTCCTACGCCGAATCCCATGACCAGGTTAATATTAGATTAAAGCTATCATTTTTAGATCATTTTAATAAAATTATCTATGATCTTAGACAGTATTTATTATACTCTTAAGCATTCAATGTGATGCTCTGAAGTGTTGTAGATTAAAGTAACCAGAAATTTGATTTATATGTAGGTTTATAATACTCTTATTAGGTGGTGAATAATGTTTAAATATGTTAAAGAATAATTTGAAATGTATTAATTTATACTTATTAGTATATTTATTCACTTTATCTTATTATTTAACAATTGTTTGTTTTTATTATTTGATTGTAATGTGCTTCATGATTAATAATAGTTTTAAAATTTATTTTTGAGTCAGAGAATATAAGAACTTCTGAAGAATAAAATATAATAGTTTGCATTGACTTGTACATAGGCTCTTGTTGGAGATAAAACAGTTGCATTTTGGTTGATGGATAAAGAAATGTATACACACATGGCTGTCTCAAGTGATCCGTCTTTAATTATTGATCGTGGAATAGCATTACACAAAATGATTCGGTTAATCACCAATAGTCTTGGTGGTGAAGCATATTTAAATTTTATTGGTAAAGTATTGTTTGAATGTTGCAGTTAAAATATTAGTAACAATTTTTTTTCGGTTTAATAGGTAATGAATTTGGTCATCCTGAATGGTTAGATTTCCCTCGTGACGGAAATCAAAGTTCATATCACTATGCCAGACGACAATGGAATTTAGTCGATGATGAATCATTAAAATATAAGTTTCTTAACAATTTTGATAAAAGTATGAATCATTTAGAAAATAAATATGGATGGTTAAATGACAATCCTGTAAGTATTTAATAGTATTGTTGTAGTTAGGTGAAATACTATTCCAAAATTAAATGTTTAATATTGTAGGCGTACGTGAGTTTAAAACATGAAGATGATAAAATAATTGCATTTGAAAGAGCTGGTTTATTGTTTGTATTCAATTTCCATCCAACCAAAAGTTTCACAGATTATAAAATCGGTTTGAATTTGTCAGGTCCATTAAAAATAGTTTTAAATAGTGATAATTCAGAATATGGAGGACACAGTCGCATTGATAACAATATTACATATCCAACTATCAATGGTGATTGGAGCGGTAGACAAAATCATACTTTCGTAAGTAAAAATATTTTAAAAGGTTTAATTTGATGATTTACTTATACTAACTAAAAATTCAAGTTCCATTTACCAGTTCAAGAATTTTGTTTTTTAATTCTAATTGCCTTCAAAACCATTAGTATAAAAATATTTGGCTTATTAAATATGCTTAATAATATTATTTGGAAGGTCAGGTCAATCATAAAAGTACCTATTTAAAATAATAAAGAAAAAGAATCAATATTTCCAAGTGTAAACCAATTGTTTTTAATAATGAATTAAAAACTATTACACATTGTATAGTAAACAATTGAATATTTAAATTATAATACAATAAAAAAAAAAGTTGATATATCATAAACTCACACTATTTTCTAAATATTATGGAATATTAAAAAATGTATAGGTTTTTTATGTTGGCAAGTGTACAACTATCATTATCTACTATTATATGTAACATTTAACTTTCTAACAAAAAAAAAATTATAATAAAGATTCATTTATAACAATATGTAGTTATATGTTATGATACTTTATGCCCCTTAAATACATATTATTCTTTTTAATGTCTAATTGGCACAGGTTTTTAAGGAATATTTAATTTTTGTTGTAATATTGTAAAAGTTCAGTAAATATGTAATACATCCTTACTATATTTAGTTTTTTTTTTTAAATTTTAGTACATAACTGTTAGTTTTTAGGCCGATTAGATTATATTAAATAAAAAAAATAATTTTTAAGTAATAACTATTGATTTATCACAAGAGAATCAAATATTATTTTTGTACTATTTAAAAAACGCAACTCAGTTTTATTATAATATTTTTTTAGACTGTTTGATAAAATCAAGTTGATTATTATTATTTCAACAACTAGATAATTACTTATATTTGAGTTACACCTATCTTTAAAAAAAACATCAGTTGTTAATTATTAAATGTTAGACATTTTAACAAATTGGATATGTTGAATGTTCTATTAAAAATTCAAAAAACTATTATAAAATAAATATTATTAATTTAATATTTAGATAATTGGCTAGTAGCTACCTATGTCCATGTTTCTCTCCATTTTTTTAAAAGACATTTAATTAATAACACTATTTTAATAATTATTGCTATGTATAAGATAATTAAAATTGTATTATTATTAATTCTTTTTATTTTTATTTTTATTTTACAGCTATATTTACCAACAAGAACTGCATTAGTTTTTTCTATGTCAAACTAAATCGTTGAAATTATGCTTGTCTGCTGTATCTTATAGCAAGTGATGATATAAGTGCTACTCAATTTTTACCAAAATGAATACTAGTTCATATATATTACATTTTAATTTGGAAAAATTAAATTAAGAAAAAGTCTGATTTTATTTTAAAGGAAAAATCGTACCAAATCTATATTTGTCTGAAATTATATTTAAAATCCACATATTCTTATTTGTTTTATTTATGTTATAACTAATAATAAAACGAAATATTTACTAGATAGTTTCCTAATATTTTGTCAACAATCAGTGTTGTTTTTTACCTATAAAGTGGTTATAAAACTACCTATGATTAAATTAATATTTGTATGTCAGAGTTAAATATTTTTCTTATAAATATATATTATCATTAGATAATTTGGTATGTATTTAATAAAACTAAAACTATTTCTGTTCAAAGAAAAGTTTTTACAAATTATATAAATAATAATAAACTCAAATGTGATAAATGGCTATATTAAGCCGTTTATAAGTTTACTCTGTCCAGTAAGAAAACACATCGGTTCTGCACATCCCCCCCCCCCAACACTGCTGTCGAGACCGTTTCTACTATGACAAGATGTTTTGTGGGGATGTGCAGAATAACCGATTGTTCTATCGCTGGACAGATTATAGTTAAATTTTGCACTAACAATTTACATAGCAAAAAATAAAATATGAATTCTAAACAAGACTATAGAATTGTTTATCACTATTTAATGCATTTAAATTGATGAACTATTTAAAATAACAGTATGTATAATAATACAACCATGTAGTAATATTATTTGGAAGATAATAATTTGGAGATGTAACTTTATAATTCATTTTTATGGTAACTTGTCCAAGGTGTTTGAGTTATAACCTTTAATACAATAAAAGTTATGTTATTTAATAAGCTTAAGATTTATTATGATGTTAAAATGTTAAACATAAAGTGTATAGCATTTAATTTAAAAAAACATACCTTAAAATGTAAGACTAACATAAAATCAAGTTAACAGAATATGAGCGGTGTACTATATACTTCGATAACAACTATAAAACGCAAGTTGTTATTCTTACATTATATTATCAACCATAATTTTTAGAATATCATTTAATTTTAAAGCTTGTCTTGAATATCAAGTTATATTAGATGCACAGTCTAGGAACTTTTTGATATTTAGTATGCCAAGAAATTATTTTGTAATATTAAATTAATTAAGTACAATTAAAATAAAACTATCATTATAAACAAATTAAGAAATAAAATAAATTTCAATGATTATTTGTTACATTCAATATGAAGTATGTAACAGTAAAATATGATTTAAGTTTTAACTTACTATTATTTACTAAAATTAACTACTTATCTATTTTGAGAATACAATTAAAGTCTTGTCAAGCGATCACATATATAAAATTATGATTTTTTATATGAGGTTAATTTCGCTGGGCTGATATCGTCATGAATTCCTGAAGTCTAATTTTTTACCATTTCATCTGTCTTATCCACAGGAGAAATTTCATTAGACAAAAAGCTATTGTGCCTAAGTTGAGAATCTTTTTGATCTTTATCAGTAGTAGAAGCAGTATTGTCAGCAACTGATGTCTTTTTTATGAATGATATTAGATCCTTTTTTGGTGGTATAATAGGCTTATTAGGCGGTACAGGAGGTGGTGTTCCGCGTCCCACAGTTGTTATTTGTTTCTTAATTAGTCCAGGAATATTGCTTTCAGTTGCATTGGGAACAGACATGTTACGTTGAATACCAAACAATGATTTTTTGACAGTGCTACTTGAACCTGACTCAGATTGCATACTACGACCAAATGAAATAGGGTGTTTTTTAATGGTGTCTAAAGGTGTAGAACAATCTTCATCGTCTTGTGGTTTATCTACCTAAAATATACAGTTTTGGTATTTTAAAATGAACAAAATGTTGCATTCAACAATTAAAAAGTGTATAAAGGTACCTGTGTATCATTAGTTTTACCACTAATTGGTTTCAAACAACGCAAACTTTGACCAGGATTTACTGATCGAGCAATTCCAGTCACTAAAACAGACAAAAAAAGGATAAATCAAAAAACATATTTTGCCATAAAATTGAAGTAGGTACATTTAATAATCATATTTACTAAATATTAAAACAGTAAGGCATTAAATAAATATTTTTATTTCAAACTGTAGTAAAATAATTGAGTTACATTCTGATAAAAGATTTAATTTAAAGTGTTAAAAGGTGCTAAAATATAGAGTATTTATATTTGAACATTATTGGATATATGTGATACAAGGGTCAAATTAAATAAGAGCAATTTTCACAGAAAGAGTATTTCACAAACGTAATTTAAGGTTTAAATTGGATCTATTTAAAGTTATTTTTTTGTTGATTTAAAAGAGTATAACAATATGATGTGCAAAAAACTAAATTAAAAATATATACTTTGACTTAAGCTATAATATTTTTTATAATTATTACTGTACAGATCAATTTTTCAATTAAAATCTGAATATAGTTTTTAATGATTTATATTTTAGTTAATTTTTTTTTACAATACACTGGGCTAAGATAACTATTTTATGATAACTAGAATACTATTAATAGTTTAATTTCATTAATATACTTAATACCTAAGTTGAATTAAATGAAAATACTGTATTATTTAAGTTAAACCATAATTTACTATTGAACTCTTTAACAAATGACCTTTGGCAACAAGCCATTGAGTGTATGGAGGGTTATTGTTGGTTGAGGAATATGTGTTTATTTGGTGCGAGGATTCATATATGTCAGGGTAGTCACTTATCCAGTACCTAGTGATGCCAGACAATGCATGAATACAGCACACATAAGTGACAACTAACAACCACCATGCCACATCATTCCCCCATTATCTATTATTTTAATCAATAGTATTATCGCTGTTAATTTATAATTTGCTATTTTTATTCTGTTTGATTGGATTTTGAATAATTCTTATTACATTAGGTACATCAAATAAAATATCAAAAATATTTACTTGGACCAGAAACTCGAACACTAGATGCAGTTGCTGTAGGTTGAACCACTTTTGCAACACTACTCATTATTGGATCACTAGGAGAAGCCATATTTCTAACACCTGAAACTGTAAAATTACCAAACATGCAATTGAAATTGTAAAATATTCACTTCTTTTATATAAAAACAAATACCAAAATAAGCACAAACAATATTTTTTGTGCACACGAGATGCCTGAAAATAGTATTTTGATGGTATTGCAACAGCTGTTTTTCCATGAGAGGTCTGAGTTAGGTTTTATAAGAAAGATCCAAATTGTGTCATATAGTAAAAAGTTTTATATTTTCTTTTCTACATTTACAGACCAAAGACATAAATAAGATCTACATGTAAGTCTAGAACATGACTACTATCTTTTAACATTATTATTTAAGAACATTTTAAAAGTAAATTAATAGCCATCAATAGTATTACATTTTTTCCCCCCGTTTAGACCGACAGCAGAGGAGGATCTGTTTGAACACTACTACTCCTACATACATTTTTTAATTCTTTCACTAAAAATTTTATCAACTAATAAATTTATTTTTTAAAAGTTTAAAATATTTTTTTTGCATGAAAGTTGTTAAAATGTGAGTAAAAAATTAATTCTAAGGTACAACATCAGCTATATTAGTCGTATAGAAATATTATTCGACTACATAGTTAAGAGGTATATATATAGTTTAGGTACCAAAAAAGTTCCCTATTTGTATAAAAATTACTTTTGTGGACACAACTCAGTAACTCAGATCTCTAGCTGACACAATTTTGGTTTTAGTGATATAAATATGTAATTTTTATATATACTGGCAATAAGAATAAAACCAAAAATCTAAATTCAAAAATAATGTTATTAGAATACAATGTAGGCTACTGGAAAATTTATAAAAATACTATTTTTTACCAGGGAACAGTAATATTTTACCTGGTCAAAGCATACTTTATATTTTGCCTGTACTAAAGTGGACATTGTAACTTAAATTATTAAAAATTTATTAAATTAATAAATTATGGAGATACTACGTTTGCAGTCAATTTAATACGCATTGATAACAGTCTTTTTTTACATACTATTATAAACTAAGAGCACATATTTTAGTGTACATACGTCTAGGTTTTAATATAGCTCCGTTGTTCCAATAAAGTGTTTTGGAACAGCCAATTGTACCAAAATCAAAATTTAATGAATTATGTTAATATTTTGTTGGGTATATAGGCAATATTTTAAATTGTATAAAAAAAAGAAAAAAGGTAAATAATTTATTATTTGACTAAAGCTAAGAATTATGAAAACATATTAAATAAAGTAAAAATCATTGTAGTTTTTATTGCCAGAGCTGAACTAGGCAATTTGATTAAGGCCAGACACTGAACAATTTTGACTAAATTGACCATCCAAATTAGACAGTACCATAGTCCTAAGGAAATGGTCTACTTTTACTGTAACATATTATTATGAGTATTATGTACACAAACCCTTTTTATACAGTCATGAAAATTCTATGAAAGAACACCATTATAACTATTCCTTAATCTTAAATCCAAAAATATTTGGACAACGATTGAAAATAAACGGGCAAATGTAAAAGTATTGAAACTTTGATGTAACAATATTTTTATTGAGTATTGAACATTGAATTTTATCAAAGAAACAAGTATGTGGATTATGAATCTAAATTATAATTAAGAATCAAATATTATGTTGTAAATGAAATGTAAAATTCTGCTTGTAACCTACATATATGTTGCAGAGAATTTATATGTTTCTATATGCTTCATGTATTAATACTTGTTAGGCAGACCTAATCTATTTATATTATGTTTTCTTGCAGAAAACAAAATTGTTTTAAAATAATATAGTCACTTAACTGTGATGCTCTAGAAAATTGTACAGGTAAAAAGTCGCAATAAACAATAAGTACTGATTCGGTAGAACATCAAATTTATATGTAAGTTGGCATAAGACTAGGTAAATACAAAAAACCCGTAATTTCATGAACAACCAAGTCCTAATTTTGACTTTTGTGATATAGTTTTTAAATATTTGGACAAAATCTGTTAAGTATGTAGAAATTATAATCATACATTTATAGAAACTTACCTACATTTCAAATAATATAAAATTACTGATTAACTGATAAATTTACTGAAGTTAAATATAATTACCTGAAGATCTACTGGAAAGCTCCATCAAATTATTTTGAAGTACTTCACTCAGTTCTTTTTCTAATGAAATAATTTCACTTTGACATTTTGCTAATTCTGCTTCTAAAGTTTTTGTTCTAGAACATCGAACATTTAAATTTATATATGTTTATACAAATCTGTTTCTCAAAATTGGTAAATTGGTTCCTTCTATATTTAGGTTAGATAACAATACAACAGTGGTGGTTTTGACATGTATTCTTACATGAGGTAATTCTATACAATGTGTCAAGTATTTTGAAAATGGTATGGGTTATGGATAATGTTGGAAAAAGATCACTAACAGACGCTATGGCTGTGTATTAGTGACAAAAGCACCCAGCTGTACGTTGTAAGTTTAGAGACAGTAGACTGTGATTGCATGCACTCTTCACACTATTTTACATATTTACACATGTTTGGAATAACCTCACATGTATCAACTTTGGCTACCAGTTCTGTGGAATAACAAACCTCCAGTGATGGTGGCAATATTAAATAGCAACAGCTATAATACCTTATAACTTTACACCTAAACTCATCTATCCATTCTTGTGTTAGTGCAAGTTTTATACAAATAGAAATACTCAAAATTGTTGTTTACCTAATGTATAATATATATGTGGAATCTCGATAAGTTGAAATTTGAGAGAAATGAAATTGTTTAGACTCACTGGAGTTTTTGGCTTAACAAGGTTTAATTTATACATTTAAGATTTTAAAAGCAAGTATACAAATAAAATCAAAACTGTAAAATTACCAGTATGCAAAAATGGTGCCTCACCTACAAAACCACCCCTGATAAATCTATTTAAGAGTAATACTCAATACTCATCACTCATTAAAAGGACATAACATGGACATTTTTTGGCCATTTTATAAGTGCGTAACACAACAAATGCCTGTGTTACGGCCCCTTAAAAAAATAGCTGTACTAATTGCGCTACTCCACTAACAAGACATGTCTAGAATCATTTAAACAATTTACTTTTTTTCTTCCAAGCTTAGAGCTGCCATCATCTTTTTGCTTTCAGTATCAAATAAAGTCAATTGTTTTTCTAATTCTGCTTCCATTTGTAATGACTTTTTACTTTCTTCTTCCAGTCCTTCAGCCATTGAATCAATTTTACTTTTTTCTTCGCTTAATATCTAAAATATGAATTTGCATACTATAGATTTTACCAAAGGTTAATTGCTTATTTTATTTTTAAAAACTGAATATGAAATTTAATAAGCAAAATTATTGAATTAAAAAAATTCTGTTCTGCATTAGTTTTTTTAAAAACTGTCATTAGGAAATTTGGATTTTTTACTCGTTTAAATTATCTTTTATGAAATAAAACTTTTGGAAAATATGACGCCCCCAAATTTGTGTTCAACAGAATCCATTTTACATTATTTAAACCTTGAACACAAAATGGATTCTATTGAACACACATTTGCTGCAAGACTGATATAATGCGGACAACAAATGTCTTAATATCATAGGAGAACAATACACATTTGATGTTGTATTCATACTAAATTGTTATATACTTGTCAATAATTTATTATTAAATAATTTTTTAGTATTAAAACCAATAATAACAATTATAAAAACAGAACATTATATTAATAACTGTAATGAAGAAAAATACATTACTTGTCCGAGATCTTCAGATCGTTTTCTTTCTTCAATATATTTCATTACAATTTTTTTTCTCTCGGCTAGTAAAAAAAATACAATTTGCTTGTGTTTTAATCGTTCTTCTTCAAAAGTATTGTGCAACTTTTTGTATTCATACTGAAGCTGTTGTTTTTTTAATCGCTCCAGATCTAATATCTAATTCAAATACATATACAAAAAAAAAATGTTCAAATATTAATAACAATTGTCTAGATAAATTGTAGACCGGTTCTATTAATTCAAATCCGATCTGTGATACAGGGTGCTGGCGACAGTATAAATTATAATTGCATAGACTCTATTCCAAATAAGACAGCACCAGGCAGTACACAAAAACCAGTCAAAATTCAAGCATATGTCCCTACCATAAGCTGTCTGTTTTGGAAACTTCAACCAACTAACGGCAACCACTGCAGCAACCAATTACAGAAAGATTATTTCTGGGGAGGGGGGAGATCCGATTGTCGCTTCATTTGGCTGTGCCACAGCGGAGCGTTCTTATTTGGAACAGAATATACATAATAATTATGTGTTTTCATCAGTCACTCGGGTATTGATTAGTACCCTCAATCCCAATTCACGATATGATGTTTGTAACATAGGCAGAGCCGGTAAATAATAATTTAGAGCTATTATGCGGTAAACTGCGATGATACAATTAACTTTGTAAATTGAAAATGTTGAACTTAGTTGTCTGTCTTTAATACATACAACTTATGATGATAAAGCTACAGCAATAATATAACTACATACATATATATTTTAATACAAAACAAAAAAATTAAAAGTTTTAATTTTACTTTACCTTTCGATGCATAACTTGATTATCTTTTAAGACATTAGCTATCCTCAAATGAGTTCTTCTTTGCTGTAATACAAGATTTTCAAGTGATCCTAATTGTTGATATGAAAGACTATCATTATTTGTTTCAAAGGTGGCAAAACAATCACGCTGTAAGGCTGCCAATGGATCTTTAACAACACGATCACTGCCTCTGTTTCTTAACATACATTTTACTTTTTCACACTGTATGGAGATACAAATATAATATATAAATAAAGGATTCATTATACTTTATACAACAAATGTATTACCTTTAAAGTTGCTATAACAATATCTCTTGCTTGGAGTTCACCCTCTAAATAGCTTAAAAGCTTTAATAAATCAGACTTATTTAAATCCATTTTTGGAATTTTCTAAAAAACATTAAGTGGTTAATATTTCGATTTATGGTTTAAAAATAAAAAATGTAAGCCGTTGATAGTACCTTTACAGTATTTCTATCACTATTCTGACGTCCTTTGGCTTCATTTTGAGAACTATTACAGTTTATTGAATTTTCATTCTTGGTAGTCATAATGTGGATAAATATTAAACATTATATCCTAAAAAAAGTTTTAAAAAGTTAATGCTAGGCAAGAATAGATACATTACACTTTAAATGCCAAAAAATGAAAATAACACAGATAATATAGAAGATAGATACAGTTATTAATGGCAATATCTTTTTTCAAAAACATATTGAATATTAAATGGATTACTGCATAAAAGTAAGTGGGTACTTCCTAATAAAACGAATTTCAAAAATAATAAACAACAATTGAGTTGCTCTATGTGATAAGCACAGGGGTATGAGTCGCACCTTAAGAGCCAGATTCACAAAACACTGTATGTGTAATACGTATGTAATATCATACAAAAGTTATCAAATGTTACATACAAATTGAACACATTTGACAACAACCGACACGGTGTAGCGTGAACCTGCGACTGTAAACATGACAAATGGTTTAACTACCAGAATATTAACCAGAAAAGTGGTTAAAATTAGTAATGTAGTTGCTGAGCAATAGTAGAGTATGTTCAACCTAACAATTTGGTGGACCGCACCTCACGAAACACAATGCAAAACCACCGGAGCAACAACGACAGTGGTATGGTCAAGACTACGGTGTGGAAGCAGCAAACAATCGAAACATTAACAGTAAAGTGTGCAACGCGCCCTCATACCAGTCGTGTCGGCAGCTACGCAGACCAGTCTAGACGCCCGGCGTCCCAACAGTGCCGGGAGACGATGGGCAGAAACGTCGTCGGGATAGCGTACCTGGGGGCGACGCGACGCATGACCACTACGACGGGGCGGAGTTCATGTCGATGCTGAGTAGTCTGACGACGGGACGACAAGACGGCGGGATCAAGCAGAAACGCAATAAACCGGACAAAAAAAAAAAATAAAGAAAACGGAACGTTTCAAACGACTGGATGACTCGTCGCTGAATCCACCGTCGTTCGTGATCTACAAGATCGTCATTCGCAGTTCTTGAAGCATCTCTCTGGTGATATCAGTGCTAAGGTCGTGGTACCGAGGGGGCGGGGCGGGGCGGTGCGGTGGGCTGGCACGGAATTGATTAGACGGCCGCGATATTCGGCCGGCGGTGCACACCGGTGCACGTTCAAAAAACAAAAACGTCGCAGACGGCCTGGGATTATGGGACAAGCGACCGGTCGGGCCGTCCACGCCTGCATGGGACGTGATTTTTTACGCCTCAAAAACCGTGGAAAATCGTGTGGCGACACAACGGACCTACGACGTTCGGTGCGCGCAACGGCCGGGTCGTCGACGGCGCGCGAAACGGTCGTGTCGTCGGCGATGCGTGAAACAGTCGGCCGCCGCCGCCGCCGCCGACAGGTGTGCCGATCACACGGACCGCGTTCACCTTCGCGACACACACTTGCGCGTACAATATTTTATTCGTGTATAATATTGGCCTAAAATATTGTACCGTATCATTATATTATTATTATTTACGTGTACGTGTTGTACCTATAATACGTATCGCATGATTATCGAATGGCAAAACGTAGGTACGTTGCGCGCTTGTGCGTGCGCACGACATGTAGTACACACTACACACAAGGCACACGCACACAAGCGCTTGCAGACGGGCCGCACACTATCGGCACGGCCCCCACCCACCACCCACCAACCCGTCTAACCCACCGAGTCTGCCGGTTACGGTGCCGCGTCGGTACATAATCTTTACGGTCAGGGTCAACGGAACGAAGCATGTGTTGTGTTGTGTACACTGTACGCGCGCTTTGTGTTAACCGGCCATATTGGAATGCTTATAGTGATTGCACCACGGTTGCGGCGGTGATGGCTGTGATGTGGTTGGTGAAGAAAATGTCTTTTACCTTCAATCTCCGTTGATCAGATTTTCTCTGCATCGGTTAGAAAATCGCAATAAAAGAATAATGAATAATGATTAGGTCTGCAGAAAAAAAAAAAACCAATGATTGCCATATTTAACGATAAATACCATTCACAATAACGAAATAATATTGTACGTTTCGATAGCTATTTCCTTTTTTTTCATACGGGGGCACCGTCGATGACAACCCGGACACCGCCGATGACAACCGGGACACCGGAAACCGACCACGACCGTATCGTACGATAAAATTTTATTATCGGGAAAATTATTGTACGTGCGCGCGTACGGTTTTTTTTTTCTCTCCCCCGGCATCAACGCGCGCGCCATTTACGCACCGAGATATTATATTATTATTATTCCATGGTACCGTACTCGGGCCGCCGGATCGTGTAAACACAACGTTACTCGCGTACTACGCACGCCGCCGGTCAGCCGGACAGAACGTCAAGTAATCATAGACACCCGTGTCCGAATACAGTGGATCACAACAATACGCCGATTGATAATTATTGTCATTAATGTGCTGCCTATCTCGTGGCGGCTGTGGATTACGTCAACGACGACAACAACAATATCAACAACAACAACAATAACAACGCCGAACTGATAATGATAATGCGACCGCCGCTGTCGTTGCAGCCGTCCGAACCGGATTCGACGATTCAAAGTGTTCGTAGTTGGTAGTTTTAAACTATCGCGGGACATGACCCATGCAGTTCGGATTGGATGGTAACTGTACCCGCTCTGTGACATGTACTCAGTTTCATCAGGTAACTAACAAACCCTTGACATATTTTTTAATAGTTATTAATCCCTAACAATAGAAGAATTATTATTACCGGTTTCATCCTATAACTGACGACCGGTGGAATCGAGCTATGTATATCTCCTTCGTCTTGTGTTCTTCTGGCGCTCCGACTCTTGCAACGCTACTATTGTGTGCGACACCATCTGCGCAATCAAGTATTGTGTCGTATTGCGTAAAATTTAATCTTAAGACGAGTATGTGATGCCAACAATACTTGTTCACGGTGTAGTTGTAGACTTGGTCTCCACTGTATTGCATACTTATGTCATTTGACATGTATTTTCAATGAATCTTAATGATAAATCAAGTCTTAATACTGTCACTATACCATTGAATTTTGGTTTTAAAAATTTTAAATGTACATGTACTCGTTCAAAGTATTTTCTTGCTTAAGGTCAAGGTCTAACATTATTAACTCAAACCAAACACAACTTTCAATGGCACTCATTATTGTACTCACCAATCAAAATGTTGATAGTAAGGTACCTACTCAAATTAAATAAACACAAAATTAGATTAATTAGTGTCAGTATTAGGTTCTTAATATGATAATTACATCTTTTTTAAAACCTCATATCAACACAAAGATAGCATGTTACTATCTCTAAACTCTAATGCTCCTAATTGTCTATATGAAACATATTGATTATAGATATGTTTCAACATTTTATTGATTGTCTTATTGTTGTTATTTTTATTTTCTGCTCTATGTAGGTAGAATGACATAAGAGATTGTTCATCTTTATTTGATAAAATTTATTGCAATCCATAAAACTCCTTATACATGCATACAATTAGATACTGATTAGGTTGATTTTATCAAAAAATAAAATTACCTACCTATTTGAAAATAAACTATTACCCTTAATTATATTTATTATGTAAATAAGTGTAAAGATTTGTATATTTTTTTAACATTATTACATTTTATCTGGGTACATGTAAGTAGTTTTCTGAACTCTAAAAAGTCATATTAGTAAGAAAAAATTTGGCTTTAGATAAATTTATTGGATTAGACTTAAAATAAAATCAAAAGGCAAAAATAATCTCTTAATGGTAACAGTGTCACTAGGTATATTATTAGTGTAAGAACTTGCATTTCAAGCATAAATAGTTGTTCCAGTTAGTCTTATATGTCTACTTACAAATCTACTAACCTAACATACCTACCCTTCACTATTTACCATTATATCATCCATAAACACATATTCTATCAATAAGAATATCTGTTAAATTAGGCTGTGTTTTGTTATATTTGGGATACATTTTTACTAATATTAATTTATTAGAATCTAAATAAAGTTATTGTGAAGTGCTTAAAAGTTTCTTTAAAATCTAATTTTCTGTGATTAAATTAGTTTTAATACCAGTAAATGAATTTTATTTAAACATTTATTTTTAATTGCTTAAATAAGATTTTATTCATTTATTTAATGATGTACATTTTTTAGTTTGTTTGGTGTTGATAATCTCATAAATAATTTAGTGGATATTTAAAATAATTATCGTACATAGATTATTGACTAAAACTTTAAGTTGTTAGTACCCAAAAGGTTCTCTAAGTTAATTTAAAAGCAATCATCTAGTCATTATATTTCAAAATAAGATTTATGTTTAGTGTAACTATTTTAATTTTTAACCAGTTAAATCCATGAATGATAATAATATTTTTTATTTATTTTTATTTTTTAATGCAATCTACAATCTATATCACTTTGGCACAATAAGTAGATGTGAAAGAGATTAGTTGTATACAAATTATTAAAAAAAAAAAATACAACAATAATAATGTTAATTCAGATTTAAGTTAGTCTAGAGTCGGTACATTTTGTTATTCATAATAATCAATTTCTATTAATTTCAAATAAACTTGAACTAGGTCACCTAGTACCCTAAGATTTTTTGCATGGATTATTGAAAATTGAGTTCATGTTTATTATTGTGCCCACCAAATAATATGTTAATATTAATTTATTTCTCTATCAATTTCTCTACTATATTCCTAAAATATTTTTATATCTTATGTTATCATAATTAATTGTACATATTCACCTACTTGAAGTAATTTTTTGATGAAACAATTAATCAATACATATCAAGACAATTATTACTTTCATTAGTGAAACAGTGAATTATAAATAGATATCATCCATAGCCAAAGTAATAAATATCATTTACAATTGGTAGACTATTCATATGATAAATAATTTTAATGTTTGTACCTAATAATGAATTTAAATATATATATAATATGTACTTAGTTGTTAGGTAACTTAAAAAAGTAGAAGACTAAACTATTATTTGTCTACAACTGCAATGAAAGATTATTAATTATTAAATTACCAAGCGTTTCTAGCAAAATAGGTATGTTTTATAGGTATGTACTATGAACAAAAAAAAAGATTGTAGTAAGATTGATTATACTATGTATTATACTAATGTACTTTAGTACTATTGACAATTTAATATGTGTTTAACCATATTATAATTTAGTTATACTAAATAGTATAAAATATTGGGAACCATTATTTAGTGTTAAATATCCTGCCGGCGCTACGCCAAGTTATTTGATGATGACTGTAAGGTAAAAAAAAATTACCTAATGAAAATTCATTAAATTCCGTTGTTTGGAGTATTTTATTTTTCTTTAAATAGAAAATTCCAATGTATGATAATTGGTAATTTATTTGAATTTATTTTAAGTTTAAATTATACCTTAATTATAACCTATAAGCGAGCCTATAAATTATAATATGAATAACAAGCCATAATTTGTTTTATTCCTTATACCTAGTTCTGTGGTTACATACCAGTTCCCAATATTTAAATAATTATAAGTATATTATTTTCTCAACTCTTAACATTGATGTACACACCATACTATTAATTATACATAGGTATATGACCTATCATACTTATATATGGCTTTATTAAATGATCAACACTTCTATAATTATTTGATATGATATATTCTTGGTAACTTTTGTAGGTAAGTACCTATCTTAATTTTTAATTGTTTGTCCTTAGGCTTAGGTACCTATCTACTTTCAATGTCTTTAGTACTTTATTATTTTAACAGTGTATCTCTTAAAATATGTGTAAATATTATAGTAGTTTTACATTGTTTAATAGAATATTATGAAATATCTCATAATCTATTTATAAATTGGTGTATTAAAATGTATTTAAAGATATTTTGAAAAACTTAAAGTAGATATTTATAAGAAAGCTTGAACAGTCATAGGCTATTAAAATATTTTTTACAATTTACTTATATTCAATATGGGAATATAAAATCTAAAAATGTAGGTAGATAATATCATTACTCCAATTACAGACTATTTTTGTGAATGATGAATCTATTATAAATAATTTGTAATTTGTACATATTTACTTATTAAAGTTTATTTTTATCATCACAACTATCTTACGATAGAGCAAAAATTATTAATAGGTGCATAATACAAGTTAGTAATATAATATTATCTAAGATTTTAGCATTGTTGTAGATAAATGATAAATTTTAAATATTCTTAAAACTGAATTAGTGTAGTTGTTGTAGTACCATCATTGATTTTATAATATACTGATACGCCATCACATAGAAGTTTTGGGTGACTATAACTCCTATGTGGTGGCTTATCTGTATATTATATAATCAATGGTACTAAAGTACTATAATTGAAACATTAATACATTGTAAGAAATGTTGTTCATTTTGTAATCCTGGGTACAATACTACAATAATTAGACTACCTAAACCTAAAATTAGGTATACCTATAAAATATGATTTTCAAATTGTCTACTGATTAATATAAGACTGAACAGCAAAAAAAAAAACAATTTATCTGCCTCTTCAATCATTAGCCTAACAGTTAGTATCAAGTTCTAAGTTTGTATAAATTATATTATGTATATAGTAGTACCTACCCACAACAACTAAATAGAACATATAAATAATGCTATATCATCTGTCAACATTAAATATGTTCAAATTGGCACCATTTTTATGATTTATACCCATGAAATAATAATGGAAAATTTCATATTACCACTATTAAACAATTTATTAAAGGCTATGATACCAATAGGATTGTAGGGACAAAATTGTGGTTAAATAGTGTGTACCTGCCTTATTTATTTATATGTACAATATTATGTACACAAAGTTGTATCCACGGCAACAGATATCGCAATGGATAAATTATATATTCTATACTGTGTTTGGAAACCTAAAACTTGGTACCTAATTGTATGCACCTATCCACAACTATATCAAATTTGAAAATTAGCTCTTTATTATCTAACAAATTAAAGTCATATTGGCACATCTTTCATTTTAAGTTATGAAAACTTCTCTGAGGTCGACTAATCAATACACTACACAATATAGTTTACTTTTATTGATTTTTCTAATAAAAAAAAATAGTGTATAAAGGATTAAACGAGGGATTAAACTACATTTAGAACCAAATTACAATTCTATTTTGGTTTTAATGTTTTTAAATTGTTTCAATATGAACTTAATTTGTTTCTAAAAGCACATTAAGTTCCTTGTTAGTTATGCTGTAAGGTTAACTGTGCTTAATTGAATTATAAAATACTGCTCATAGTTTTAAGAAATTTGGTCATTATTTATCATTATATTGTTAATGTTTTTTATATAACCCATATACTATTCTATAGTGAATCTGACTGTGTACATTTTATAAACATGTTTTGAATTTCAGTTGCTTACAAAAAAATACACAACCATCATTTGGGATTCTAATATTATATCAAAAAATTGTATAAATATGCATATTGATGTATTAATACATTTTAAATACCTATTGTTCCTTATCTTGTAGTATTTATTTAATACTATTTGCTATTTGCTTTATTTATCGTGCTTAATCATTATTTATTTCATTTTAATTGTTCCAACTTAATCAAATTGAGTTGGCTTACCTATAGTTATG